AGATTTTCCCTGTGAGCTATAAAAGCTTTTGTTTCTTTCCAGCTGGTAAATCTCAATATTCAATTACTATTTGAGGTTTCTTTTTTCAAATGACATAAATCCTCAATAAAATTACATAAAATTAGGATTTAGACCAAATGTTTATGTATTATTGTAACCAACAAGATCAATTAAATAATTTATCTGGATCTACAAATGATATCAGGATGATCTAAGTATCAAAATGTAGCTTTTAAAGCCAGGAATCTGAAAATATGATTAGGTCATTTTGAGCAAATTTGACTTAATCCTCATTTCGATGTGATGGGTCACAAATAATCATAGATGAAAAATAGACATTGTGAATCTATAACTGTAGAAATATACGTCACCGGTAGATTTTCTAAAGAGCTGATACAGTTTTTAAGATATAAAACAGTAAATAAGTAAATAAAATTCAGTAATGTGTAACAGGTCACAATGAACGCCATAAAAAGCAAGCAATATTGCATTTGTCTGTATCTGTTTGAAAACAATGGTCTGTTAGCACAATATATTTTGAACCTCTGGACAGATTTGAATGAAACTCTGTGGGAGTAATTACTGGATGAATATCTACAACTCTTTAATTTTTGGTGTCATTCTGAATCAAGATGGTTGCCACAGATAACTGACTTTAAATATAAAATTAGCTAAAACTCTGTCAGTTTTACAGACATTAAACCAGAACTTTGTGTGGTAGTAGCTGGAAGTCACTCTCTACACATAATCGAAAATCTATCACATAAACATTCTTGTTTAAAACTTTGACATTAACTTTTGCATTCAGCCTCTTCCGTATGTTACCACTGGAAATATTTGGTTGGAACTCTTAAAGCATCAGTGGATGTGCATCAGTAACTCATTTTATTTTGGTGTCAACCCAATCCAGGACAGTCTCCACAGCTAACCAGCCTCAAAAAACACAAAACTAAGTTAAATTCAGTCAGTTTTGCAGATATTGAACTAAGATTTGTTGTGTTAGTAGCTGAAAGTCGTTCTATCACACTCTTCAACCCCTAAGAGATCATAAAAGATCTTTGTTCAAATTATTGGCACGCAAGGCGGCTGGTAATATGCATTTTGTTTCAAAGAACACTCATTTTTTATTGTAAAAGCTTTTAAACTAATAATGGTGAATTCAAACGTGAAACATCTACTGCTACACATTTCACTTTTATGCAATGCTATAAAATACTTCCATAACAAGTCTTCATAGCCTGCCTTAAACATAGAAAACCTACATATGTGCGCAACAACATGTGTCATCAGTGGTATTTATGCACAAACATGATGTAAATGCAGGTTCAGGTAGCTTAGCAGCGTTTCACACACAGCACTGAATGTTGTAGAAACTTAAATGAGACCTGACAAGAYGTCAGGTTCAGACCGAACAAACATTTTGAAAGCTACCAGCAAGGCAGAGATAGGCAAGGYACAGAACCAGGGGTCCGCATGTGGGTCCGCATGTGAAGTTTGTCTGCCCACACGTTTGGAACCCCTCACTCCACTTGGAAAATTTTCATTTCATGTTTGATGTGTGCTCAGTGTGTGCAGTGGGCCTCTGTTTGAAGGTAACTGAGATTCCCCGCAGAGTCAAACATGGAGCTGTCCACCTCCAGCACGAGCAGGGGCAAAATACAAGACGGTTTTTTATCACACA